TGTTGTCAAGTTGAAAATGAGACCTATAGCCCCAAAGCTTCTATGAGCGGGTCCTGAGCAGGAAGACAGGAACAGGGTGCTCCGCTCTGGGTGAGATCAGGTGATCAGGGAGCTCTAGACCTCAGTTGGCCTCTGCCCGATGCACAGGGCTGGCTTCATCTACTCCAGCTCCATGAGCAGGAGTAAGTCCAGGTTTTGTGAAGGTATCAGCTTTTATAATTTTGGTGCCCTCTTTTAAAAAAAAACACACAAAAAATATCTTTTGAAAAATTATACAAAACCCATAGGATCCAATGAATACGTTGCTAGGGCCCCTGCTAGCACTTGGAAGGGTCCCCCGGAAGGGGTGGCTCCGCAGGGGAAGTGTCATTAGCTTCACGGGTCATCTGCCTCTGCCTCTGCCTGTGAGATATTTCTGCTTGTCGCCAAGCCAAGCATTGGAGCTCATTTAGACAGAAGAGTTTTCCTTTTCACCCCCAAACACGAGGCCTTTGGAAGTTGATCGATCAACAGCTATTTAGCTGAGACTTCGCTCTGGTTATGTCTTTGCAGCCACAACCATCTACGTTCTGGGAGTGAAAACATTAGAGACGGTGAAACGTGTCATGTGATCAGATTCGGCATGTTCTCTTAAATCTGGACAGTGCTACATTTCCTCCCTGTGTTACCAAAGTTGCTCAAAGAAATGAAATCCCAGGATGGATGTTCGACATCAAAATAAGACCCCTTTTCCACTAGTCCACTTCTCTGAAAGGCATGGAAAAGCCATGCATTAATAGGCTCCTTTTATTTTACTCAGTTTTGTCTCCGAAAGAGGTCCAGTGAAAGCAACCGCCCAATCTGTGCCTTGAACACTGTTTATATTTGTTGCTGGGATACTAAAGGCTCTTTTAAGCCTTTGGCTAAGAAGAGCACCATGCATCTGACCTTGTTCACCTGCACATAAAGCAAATAATGGCTGAAATGATAGGAAAGCTCCTCCAAACATTTTGAGTGAGACACAAAGCATTTTTGTGTCCAAAATTTGTGGCGTCCAATATTTGTTGTTCAAATAAATCTCAATCTTCATACCAAATTGCACATTACACATAATAAGATGAGGCTTTGAGAAGACAGATGTTAATTATTTTGAGGTAAATCAGATCACCTTTGACCTAAACCCTGAGCTGTAATTTTGTTGCTGAGCTTCTTGGTCCTGAAATTAATGTAAATCTTTACATTTGTAATTTTACTTGCCAACGCCAACCCACCCACACAGTCTGTAAATGACTGCTCTGAGTCAGAGACTATTCACTTACAATTGTGTTAGGTATTTTAAAATGTTCCCTGGAAAAATTTAATCACTTAATCCTACTCCTTTAACTGATTCTGCTTTATGTAAAAATGATGGAGCCAGAGAACATCTAAATTGGAAGGGACTGTAGAGTTTGTCTTTCCCGCAAATTCCTCCTTTCTCGGATGAGAAACTAAGGCTCTGATGTTAGAAGTGACTTGCCCACAGGTCATTCAGTGACCAAAGCTAAAACCCAAATGGAAAGTACTGGGTTAAGGTTTTAATAAAGGGCCACACTTAGAAATCTGAGAGTCCAAAAGCTACCCCTCTCCTGCCCTCCTGCCTCCAACAGCTTCTATCAATCATGGTACTCCACAGTTTGACACTGTTCTAAAAAAACCATGCCATTTTGAATCCAAGTGGTCAGAATATGATTTGGAGAAAACAAATCAGTGACTGTTATAACATGCATTAATTTGTGGGGGATGGATATACAATAAACTGTTAATAATAATGACTTGATGAGGGGGACTAGGAATGAGAGAGGCAGGATAGGGAGATGTTTCCTTTTCCTTTTTAATTTTTTCTTTACTATTTGACTTTTATTGCCATGTACAGATGTTAACTGTATTAAAAACCTAAAGAACAAATCAGAAATACTATGCTCACAAACTTCAAAGGAGAAATAGAATTTACCCCAGTAACACTGATGTTTGAAAATCTAGTATACAGCAGAGCAATACTTTTACAAATTTTTTTTTCTCCTAAAGTATCCGTAACGGCAGAGGAAATTGAATGGGTTCCCCCAGGAGTCTGAGGGCCAGCAATGGTCCTTGTGTACACAAACTCCCTTTGCGGTTTATGGTTTTTCAATGCCTTTAAATTAATAGACTCTCTAGCGTCTCTACGTCTCTTTTAATACAAAAATAATGGCTTAAATGACTCACCATCCACGAAAACTGCCCCTCTGGGAAGACACCCCTCGTTTCTGTCTCCGGCAGTCGGGAGAGCACCCGCAACACTCTGCCTCCTGTGCCTGAGTGGAGAGGCCCCCTGGAATAGGAAGCGCGGCTGTGCACGAGCTGACCTGTATCCGGCTCCCTCACCTGGAATCGGGCTTCACGGATCTCGTTATGCATCGAATAGTAACAAAACAACGGCATAAATTAGGGGGTTGCTAAGATTGTGTACCATCAATGTTCGCATGAGCATAATGGACATAATGAATTCTATAGCACTATCCTGCACAGCTTGGAGAGATTAAAACCACTTTGTCTTTAAATTAAATTTCAAAAAGCATTGAACAACAAGAATAGAAAGAACACACACACACACATAAAAACCCACCTCATCGATGTCAGCCACCCAATTGTAGGAGGCACCATTTCTTGCTTTCTGATCATTAATGCCGGTTCCTAGGTTTATTTTAATAGCTGCCAGCTCAGTGAGTCCACATCTATTGTAATAACCATAAAGGGGGCTGGGGTCCTCATGTGTTGTGTATGCAGCCCTAAGTGGAGAGCCTCTTACGCCCTTTCAGAACAAAATCTATAACTGAAAAAGACCTTAGCTGAAGTTTATTTTGTATAAAAATTTACATAATATCATCTAGGCTGTTGCAGAAAAGGAAAGGTGGGTTTGAATTCATTCTTAAGCAGCTCTCAACTTGGGTAAATCTTCATTCAACAAACTGGGTGACTAAGGATGAGCTCACATTGGAATACTCGCTAGATGCCAGTTATCATACTCACTGCTCTACATGCTTTATAGTATTCAACCCTCGCTCACAGCACCTCTAAGAAATGTGGCTAAGACCATTATAGCCCCATTTCACAGATGAGGAAACTGAGGCTCCAGAAGATTAAATGACTTGCCCAAGGTCATACTGCTAAATAACCAGAAGAGCCAATTAAAATCCAGGTAATTCTGATCCTACAGCCCCTGAAATCCAAACTTGCCTCTTAATAATTATCATAGTTACCATATATGGAGTGCTCATTATGTTCTACGGTAGATGCTTTGCATAAATTATTTCATCTTTGCAACAACTCTCTGAGGCAGGCATTATTTATTTATTTATTTTTTTTTTGAGACAGAGTCTCACTTGTTGCCCAGGCTAGAGTGAGTGCTGTGGCGTCGCCTAGCTACCAGCACCTCAAACTCCTGGCTCAAGCAATCCTGCTGCCTCAGCCTCCCACGTAACTGGGACTAAGGCATGTGCCATCACTGCCTGGCTATTTTTCTATTAATTAGATTGGCCAATTAATTCCTTCTATTTACTAGTAGAGGAGGGTCTCAACTCTTGCTCAGGCTGGTTTCGACTCCTGACTCGAGCAATCCGCCCGTCTCAGCCCCCAGAAGCTAGGAGGCATTAATAACCTCATTTTAGAGGTAAGTAAAACCAAGCTTAGAGAAATTAAGTACATTGCCTAAAGCACAATTAATTGCGAGAGTCCAGATTTCGAGCCCAGCCTCTCTGATACCAGAAAGTTCTTAAACAATTAAGCATACTACAATTTAGGTGCTTTGCCAGGGGCACGCAACAAAACCCCTAGGCTCTCCTGGGCATGAATGTATGCCATATCAGACCTTTGTCTATGATTTAGCCTTATATACACGCAATGTGGGATGCATGTCCCGGAAGTTTTACGGGGGGGGGGGGGGGGGCTGTGCACGTGGCTCACCCTTTTTCTATCTTTTAATGTCGGGGCTTGACAGACATGGTGCTTTATTCTCATACATATATTATAAGGCAAAATCCACTGGATTTCTGATCCTTAATCAGAGCTACAGAAATTGCACACTCTCATGTGATCCCAAGGCTTATCCAAGAGAAACATAAATATCCTACATGACTGGCTTATTAGTGCATTAGTAAAATGCAGATGCCTCCATCTCCTTGTAAAATAAGTTTTAAGGCCGTGGCCCATGTCTAACTCTCCGTAATCTTTAAAAGCGCTGCCTATCCACACAACATAACTGTGCCAGCTCTAATCTCTGCTTGGAATGGGATTAACGAAATGGCTTGACCCAGGTGAAGATAAGGTAACTGCCCGAAAATTTAATGATTAAAACTATTTTAAAAATCATCTAAATGAAGTGGCATCACGACACAAACTTTACCATTTTATGGGACAATTCAGCTCATAGTTTTGATTAATAACTGCCAGACTAGGAAAGGTGAGTCATAGACATTTTTGAGAAGGTGATTCAGCTATGACAGTCACAGGCAATGGGCCAATGGTTTTTGGATATGCTGGACACTGATTTTCATTTTGCTAATGTGTTGGGAATGTTGAGGTCCCACAACCAAGTTCATTGTTCATAAGTTGATGGCTGACAATTGGTTTTAAAAAGAAAGTTCTTCATCTCAGGAGATACTGTAACATTTACTAAAAATGTAGCATTAAAAAGGTTAACATTTATTCAAATATAGCATTTACGTAAATATACTTTATATGCATAAACTACAAACACAAACTGCATTTCAGATGTTTTTATTTCTCAAATTTGTTATTCATCAGGAGTGACTGAAATAAAAATAAATTGATCCCATCATGATCATGGAAATGGTTTAAGAAAACTGGTCAGATGAATATTATTGCTTCCCATTTTCAACCAGTACATAGTTGCCATTGATAAATAGACAGCCAGGAGTCTGTCAAGAATGATCAAGATATGTTATATAATACAACATGCCTGTCACAGGGAGAAACTAAGGAATAACTTATGTGACTTCTTGATTCAATCGACAACAAAGCACAAAAGCACCACCCATGCCTCTGAGAACATTGGACCATGCACCCTTGAAAAAAGCTTTGCCTCCTTCATCACGAGCGATCTTCCTCCAGCAGTCAACTGTGCCCGTGTACATGATGTCAGCTGCAAAGAATAAAGACACAGACTTGGTGACCAATGGCCAATAAAAGCCCTAAGATTCACTAGACTAAATAAAGCAGAGCCCCACCTCTAAGAACTAACGTCAGCTCTAAACCCAACATTTACACATTAGCATGGGCAATACTGAAATATTAATGCTGTGACTAAAGAACAGGTAACTGCAGACTAACCACTGGTCTTAACCTGTAATACCATTTAAGCACCCTCATTCACAGGCATCAGAAGGGCCCGTTTAAAGACAGCTGTGTAGCAGACAGCGATGCTATCAACCCTAGCCCTCAACCTGAACAGACAGCCATTTTTAAAGGCAGGCATCACTACAGTTTGTGGCCACAGCTTGTCCCGTGCCCATGGCTTTATCTTCTGCTCAAGTGGAACTTACCTCCTTTGCGCCCTGACTGCATCATCATACGGCGACGAACAGTGTCAAATGGGTAGGAAGTCAACCCAGCAACAGCAGTGACAGACTGTGCGATCATCCAACGACTAAATGATCGTGAGTATTCTTGGATTCTGGAAGCACTCCTGGAGAAGAGAAAGAGACACTTTTAACCAAAAGCAGTTTTATATTACTGACTTCTTGATTTTCACATCCCCTAAATTTCCATATTGTCATGTAAGAGGTTTGTATTGGATGACTGTGGCTTTCTTTAGCAATTGAAAAACAACATACTCGGCCGCGCGCTGCGTGGGCTCACGCCTCGTATCACTAGCTCTTGGGAGCCGAGGCGGGTGGATTGCTTCAAGGTCGGAGTTCAAGACGCTGAGCAGCAAGAGCGAACCCCGTCTCTACTATAATAGAAGAGATAATTTTGGCCAACTGATTGATACTATAAACAAAAATTGCCGGGCATGGTGGCACATGACCTGGTATCCTCAGACTACTCGGCGAGGCTAGGCAGAAGGATCACCTCAAGCCCAGGGTTTGAGGTTGCTGTGAGCTAGGCTGCCCACGGCACTCAACTCTAGCCTGGACAGACAAGTGAGACTCTGTTCGGCAAAAAAAAAAAAAAAAACAAAAAAACAATCTCTGCTCCTGGAATACTAGGTTGGCATAATGATCTTTTAAACTGTCTCATAAGAACACAAATTTAACAACAAACTTACCTTTGCAATGTCATAGATACAAAGTAGCAGCACGGTAGATGATAATACCCTGCACAGAACACGTTAAAGCTCTGGTACAGGCCCTAATCCCATCAGATTTGTAGATCTTAACCAGGCAGTCACGTAGGCTCCTGAATTCCTTTCAGCTCCGGCTTTACCACATCAGCTGCTAGACGGGTAACGGCAAATCAGAGGTACACAAAGCACAAGGATTGCCCAGCGGCACCACCTGATGCCAGATCCCTGCAAAGTAGCGCCAAAACTGGGTCCTCTTGTCTAAACCAGGAAGATCTGCTGTATTTATCTTTGAAGGCAAAGTTGAGAGCCTGGTGGGGAAAGTACTGATGCAATTGGCCAGGTTACCACGCCAGAACAGGCAACTCCCTGCTCCTTGGGATACGACCACGCAGTCCATAATTGCCTTGTATTGATTATCTGCAGTGATTTGCTTGCTGGCAATGCTGCACCTGCCAGACAGAAAGGAGGCCAACAGGAACATTCATGACATGGGAAGGGCAGACACACATCATTTCGATTTCCTTAAGTTTGGTTCCCTTTTATCCTAATCTTGTCTTCTATATCACAACAGGTTGGACTCCTAACCCTCTGACGCTGTCCAGGGGGAAGCAGTGATCCGCTTCATCAGAGAGGCATGAAGCTGCCACCTCTCTGCTGGGAAGGGGACCCTTAAGCGGACCATGACCTCTAGACTTGGGAAAAGGTCACTACCCAGACCCAGGTTCAAGGCATTAGGCGAGTCCCACGTAGGGCGCAGTCAGTTGGTGACCGCAGCCTACACCTCAGGTCTCCTGAGCTGCTTCCTCCGCTCCGCCCTACTCCGCTCCCAGAGGTGACCTGAGCGCACACACACGCTCGCCGTGCGCGCCTCTAAGCCGGAGCCGGAGAGCGCGCGGCGCAGGAAGGCAGCGGAGGGGACCCGCGGCGGCTGCGCGGGGCGGACGTAGAGACACGCGCTTCCGCGCCGCTTCGCCGACGAGCTTGAGCGCGTCCGCGGCTGGGGGCCGCTGACCCGGACGCATGGCCTCCTAGGCTGTATCTTCCTTGCGCGACCTGAGGTCTCGGTACGGGCTAACTGTTCTCTTTCTAACGCCGCTTTGAGGCTTAGCCTTGACTCGAGGCCCGGGAGACAAATCTCCGGTACTGGCCCATCTGAGTCCGCTGCCTCGGGATGCCGAGCCCGGGTCTCCCTCACTCCCTCGGCCTCCGCCCTTCCTGGACTCCTGACTTCAGGTCTCTGAAGGCACCTTCCTGGAGTGTGCCTTGGACGCTGAGGAGTTAACTCTTCTCGACTCTCGGGAACCGCTTTCTGTGTGCCCCCCCCACTTCCTGTTGGGCTCCACGTCCCAGGACGTACCTCAAGCAGCAGCTTGACCCGCTCGATGGGCGCTACCGCGGTCTTGGAGATGGCCGCGGCCACTCCACCTGCCAGAAAGTCCTTGAGGAAGGACACAGCGGCATCTGTCATGTTGAAGCGAAAGAGGAGGCCGGCGACTGCGGGACAAGACTGAGCCGGGAACCGGCTTTGACTCCGCGGCTGTGGGGCGGAGCGGAGCAAATGGCCGATTTATATACGGGGAGCCGGCGTCGGAGCGGGCGGCGTCGGGGGCCGGGCCGAGGGCGGGCGCTGAGCCCTGGCGCGCGGGGCGGCCGAGCTGCTGAGTGGCCCGGCGCGCCGAGGGAGGAGCCGGGGAGGCCGAGCCGGGGGCCGCCCTGCCCGCCGCCGGGCTCGCCCGCAGCACCTGACCGCGCGGGGGGGAAGGGGCGGGCCCGGGGGATACCCGGGACCTGAGCACTGGACCCTGAGAGAGGCCTCGGAGTGGGGAGGAAGGGTGAGGTCACGGCGACCCTGGACAAAAACCCCTGGAGCAGGGCCGGGATTGGGGTCAGGCACAATTGTTACCTGATTTACCCCCCCCCCCAAAAAAACCCTCAGTATTCAAGCTACATAGTATTTAATGCAGTATTTTTTTTTGGGGGGGGACAGTCACGTTCTTGTCGCCCAAAGTACAGTGCAGTGACGTCATTATAGCTCACAGCAACCTCAAACTTCTGGGTTCAAGTGATTCTCATGCCTCAGCCTCCCGAGTTGCTTGGACTGCAGCAGCTAATTTTTCTATTTTTGGTAGAGATGAGGTCTGGCCACCAGCTTACGCTGATCTCAAACTCCTGAGCTCAAGCGATCTTCCCAACTCGGCCTCCCAGAGTGTTAGGATTCCAGCCGTGAGCCACCGCGCCTCGCCTTTAATGCAGTATTTTAAAAACTTCATGTAGGCAAACTGCAGCTTACTGGCCCGTCGCCTGTGTTTTGTAAATAAAGTTTAACTGGAGTCCCAGGACTGGGGAGGCAAGTGAGTGGGGCAAAGTCATGCAAGTGCAGGTTGGCATCCTGTCTTTATTTTAGATTTTAATCATTTCTTCATCACGGATTTTTGCGTTGCTTTTGTGAAGGAAAATAAAAATCTCAGGACCCTCCTCCCCCCCATGCCCCTTATGTAAAAGAGAAGATGAAGCCAGGAGGCTGAGTCATGCAACACCCCCTTCCAAATGAATGGCTGTTTCTAACAAGCATCAGCCCATCCGCTTGGAAAGGTAAAAGGCCTCAGGCACCTGCAAAGGATAGTCCCCACAAATCATTCATAAGGAAATTCTTTGCTGACTTCCCATAAACAAGGACATGCAAATTGTAACTTTGACTAAGTCTAGCTCCCAAAAACTAAAGTCTGTTGTTTCCACACTAACAAACGTTGATTACAAGTTTATCTCCCCACATGCAGAACAAAGACAAGATCAAACATTCTTCCACCTACCCAGGGGCATTTACATAATTGATGCTTCCTTCACTCCCTTTTTCCCTGGGAACATTCACCTTATTTTATGTAAAATATAGATTTCGTGGGCCTCACAAGAATGTAACTATTTACCTCCCCCCCCTTTTTTTTATCCTCTAAGCCCGAGTTCTCAAATTCCCCTTTGGAAAAACAGTCTCAGACTTGTCTGTGGTTTGTGTTTTTCCTGGGTGCGTCCTCAAACTTTGGCTTCATAAACCTCTATTGATTGAGACCTTTGCCTCAGTCACTTGTATTGGGTTGTCACTTTTGAGTTTTTAGAATAGTGCATCAAAAATCATTTATCTTGATTACTGAGTTGTTTGGAGCCAAGGTGAGTGCCTCACTCTCCTCACCCCAGCCTCCACTGCCCTGGAGCTTTGCCAGTGGAGCCAGAGGAAATTGGGGGAAAAACAGAGCCAGGGCACTGCCAACATGCCCAGACTCTTGTTTGCAAATACAGTTTAACAAAGATCGTGCTAGGAATTGGCCTGGGAGAGTCCAAAGGACTGGGCTGGGGGGTGGGGAAATGATTTTAGCCCAAAGGCAAATATAGAGGTTGTACCCAGAAGGTTAAAAGGCTTAAGAAGAACTAGGTTGATATTTGACTCCCTGAACCCCAAGTAAAATGCTCTTGGATTGAATAGATTTCTGAGCTCCAGAAACATTTAGAGGAATCAACATAATTATTACTAGATTGGCAGCCATTGTGTCAATGGACAGTTGTTTACTGAGCCACGTTCTCTCTGCGCACTGGGTAAGCATTTGCCATACATGTCCTTAAAAACCTTCTTGTTAGCTTGGGTGCACTCCCTCCGGTTCAGAACAGGAACAGATAGTGCAATCGCAAATCTCCTGTCTAAGTAATCGTAGCAGTGTTTACAAAAATAAAGATAACTGTTGAAATCTGCAACTGCAGCTGAACCTTAGGTTCCCAGACTTCAGAATTCCCAAAAGGGAAATGTCCACACCTGTCTTTTGTACGCTGAAGGCATAGTGGACATTATCCCTCACTTTCCTTGTCTGCCCTCATCCCACCTTCTCTAGATCTGCCTGGTAAAGGACCCAATTCTAGGGTTCTTCTAGGATTATTAGGCCCTTTCTCTACAAATACGCATTGCAATTTTTTTGTCTTCCCAAGAACCCCAGCAATCCAAAGTGATGCACCCAAACTGTAGGTGTTCCAAGGAGACGTTTTGAATCTGGCTTTGTTGATCCTGGGGGAAATCTCTGACCTGTGCTAGTCTGATTATAACAGTGAGGCAGCTAGATACAGAAATGACCTTGCTGCACAGTTTCAGAGAATGGTAGAGTACATACTCTGAAGGTAATAGTCACTTATCTACTTCTGGTGAGTAGAAACAACAGCTAAAACAATATTCGACAGAGGGTTTTATTTGTAGGAAGGTGGTTTTTATAATGCATTTCAAATTAAAACTCTTTTTTTTCTAGTTTAAACTCCTGACATTCTGATTAAGGTATTTCTTTTTTCTTTTTTTTTTTTTTTTTGAGACAGAGTCTCGCTTTGTTGCCCAGGCTAGAGTGAGTGCCATGGCGTCAGCCTAGCTCACAGCAACCTCAAACTCCTGGGCTCAAGCGATCCTCCTGCCTCAGCCTCCCGAGTAGCTGGGACTACAGGCACGTGCCATCATGCCCAGCTGATTTTTTGTATATATATTTTTAGTTTGCCAATTAATTTCTTTCTATTTTTAATAGAGACGGGGTCTCGCTCAGGCTGGTTTCGAACTCCTGACCTGGAGCAATCCACCCGCCTCGGCCTCCCAGAGTGCTAGGATTACAGGAGTGAGCCACCATGCACGACTGATTAATGCATTTCTATTCAAATGTTAATCACTCCTCATTACACCTCCCTGTCTCACTCATGTACCCCTTTTCTACATGTGACCTTTCCCTGGCCATATCTGCTACTTCACGTGAGCATGATGCCCCTACTGTATTCTATTCCAGAGTTCTTTTACCGTTTCAAGCACTTCCACATTTATTGTGTTGTCAGATTTTTTTCTTGCCACAAAAAAAAGATGATCAAATAATTACATAGAATTTGTCCCTTCTCAGTCTCTGGGTGACCAAGTGTACGTTTATTGAAGATGAATTACAAGGTGAGTCATTTAAAAGCAACTTCACGCCACCACTTGGTATTTTGTTGAATCCACTGTGGGCTGGAGCTCCCCTAGTTGCCTGTTACTATGTGTACTTCAAGGAGTCAGATGTTCTCAAAAGTGTCAAGGTAATGAAAGACAAAGAAAGACTGAGAAACTGTCATAGATTAAAGGAGACTAAAGAGACATGACAACTTAAAGCAATGTGTGATCCTCAGTTGGATCCTGGGCCAGAAAAAGGACATTGGTGACAACTATTGGTGAAATTCAAATGTCCATAGATTAGTTAATAGTATGTACCAATACTCTTCTTGGTTATGGTGCTTATGTAAGATGTTACCATTTCGAGAAGCTGAGTAGAGAGGATATACGGAAATTCTTTGTATCATTTTTGCAATATTTTAAAAAGTCTCAAAGTTCAAAAAATGTTAGAAGAAAAAGGAAGAAGGAAAAAAAAAGAATCTAGGAGCAAGAGCACAGGAACATAGAGGATAACATTAATAATGAGATGATGTTGACAATGATATGTGGCTGGTCAATTCATCACATAGAGCTGCGTTAGTAATTACTGCATTTCTGGAGCTATGTAGAATACAAGTCTAATAAAGAAAAAGGAACTAACGCTAAGGCTGTGCCTAGTAATTCTCAAGAAAAAAACAAGGAAGAGGGTCAGAAATGATACGTAAGTACTCAAATATCTTTGTACCAACACCCAGAATATGGGTAATAAAGTGAATGTAAAATTTTAATACAAGGAGGAACATGCAATTTTATAGGTTCAGACTTGGTAGGATGGGACTTCTAGCTGGTGTCTGGAAAAGCAAAGGTAAACTTGGTTCCGAGACGTACCATATAGGAGGAGAGAGGAGCAGTAATATATCAAGAAGATATAACCCGTAGTACATTGACTAGAGGGTGAAAAGTGAGAATGAAAGAAAAAAATTAAAGTGATTGTAGTTGTGGAAGTATACGAGAGACTGCTCAGATAGATAAAAGATATGAATAGTACTTCATAAAACTGTCACATAGATGATAAAGGGTGATCAGAGACATAGACCATCTGACTACCTGCTGGAAATTTCATTATTCTGATAGCAGCACATCTGACAAGTTCTCAACTCTCATACTGATACGGTGTAATTACAGTTCTCACAAGAATGAAGAAGCAATGAAGTAAATTGCTAAACTGGGTTTAATCCTGACAATAAATAAGGAAGATCTGGTTAGCAAAATGAAAGTGACATGAATCTTGGGGAAAGTCACCATCTGGACCATCCATTAAGCTAAAAAAAAAAAAAAAGCTGGGCATGGTTGTGTGTGCACACACACGTGTGAGTGTGTGTGTGTGTGTGTGTGTGTGTGTGGTCAGAACTGTACAATTTGGAAAAGTTCCAATGAGAAATTAAAAAGGGAGAGATAGCTAACAAATTCATGTCCTTTCTTTTTGAGACAGAATCTCACTCTGTTGCCCTGGCTAGAGTGCGGTGGAGTCAGTGTAGCTCACAGCAACCTCAAACTCCTGGGCTCAAGCAATCCTTCTGGCTCAGTCTCCCGAGTAGCTGGGACTACAGGTATGTACCACCATGCCTGGCTAATTTTTCTATATATTTTTTTAATTGGCCAATTAATTTATTTCTATTATGGT